GCACGCACGCACGCACGCACTCCGTCACCCAGTCAGCGGGGGGGCGCGACAATCGTGCATCGTGAATCGTGAACAACGTGCTTACGCCCTGCTGCCTATGGCTGCCTGCTGCTGCCTGACCGCGATGGGTCAATCGTCGCAGCGATATCGGTCGGGCACGGTCGGGTGGTGCTGCTATCATTGTCATCACTCGTGATTATTATGATGATTGTCATTCATGATTCACAATTGTGACTTCAAGGTTGCCAAGCAATCGTGATTCGTGAGTCTTTAGCGGGATTGTGATACACGATAGGCCATGCTGTGCAGGGAGCTGGGTCACCACAGTCACGAGTCAAGAGTAACAAAGCGGTGAGTGTGAGTATTTTGATTGATTGGCTCATGACTCTGCATCACGAATGCGAGCACACGCAGCGGGCAGCGCTTGGCATGTCAACGACGTCATTGGTGAATGAGATGGGAAAAGTGCGCTTTGTTAGTCGTGAGTGGAAGAAAGCGTGTTTCCTGCTGCTGGAAGAGTCCCAACACACGGCCAACGAAAGTCTCGGTGACGAGCACATGCACAATCAAAATCGAACCCTTTGCGGCTGTGTGCGGTGGGTGGGATGCAATGGAATGCACCTCTACGTGCGTCGGTCAGCATAACCCTGACTCACGACTCACGACTGGACATCTCTATGAGACCAAATCAAGTCCGCTCGCGTGTGGCTTTCTTAGCTGCCATGCAGCGGTGATGTCGGTCTGTGTGCAGCTGAAAGTAAAAGCGCTGCGACTTTGAAATCGAGACAATTGCGTTCGATCGATCATGCAGCGATGAAGCAGCGGAGCGAGAGAGGGAAGGAAGGAACGCATTGAAGGAAGTGGAGCAGCCAGACTTGCGGGCATGCAGTGCAGAGCCTCGTGTCGATCTTTGCGCACGACACTCACCACCACAAAGTGCCTCACATTACTCACTCACGCTCTTGTCGTGGCGTCGTGCACCTGCACGTGCACTTTGGGTGTGGTTCAGCATTGATTGCGAAGGGATGGATGGACTTGCAAGATGGCATGTGGGTGGATGGGTATACGTGACTTACTTCGTCGCCGCGGGTATGCAACCTGCTGGCAAAGATACACGATACACGTCACTCGATTGCAGCTATACCGTACACCGCAAACCCATCCATGATTTCCACGAGGCGGCAGGTATGCAAGAACGCAGGCACGAGCAATCGTGAATCCTGAACAATGATAATCATAATCGAAACACGAATGTGAACAAATCAACATGACTCGCTTTTCTCTTCTTATCTCGCGACGGCGTGATGCGTCTGATGCTGTTGATGTCAGAGCCACGAGCGTGAGTGAAGAATGACTGACAGTTTGACAAGAGCGCGTCTCGAGTATCGGTCGAGTGTTCAGTCACAGTGGAGGATTATGAATCACACTCACCAAGGCGTCAAGGAGCTTTAAGCGCAAGCAAGAGAACGGAATCCCCATTCAAATTAAGGTTCAATCAGAATCGAATCAGAATGTTGAAGCGGGATCGATCGATTGAAAAACATCGCATGTGCTGGGTGTGTGCGTCCAGGCGAGCCGAATGCGCGGCAGAGAGAAGTCCAGCAGAGTCGTGAGTGCGCGGGGCGAGGCCGCATGTGGGCACTGCGTGCATGCACCCATCAGCAAGCGCATCCATCCACGATCCCCACCTCTCGACCGTGAGGCAAATCTGCAGCAGCCGGCGCCTGCTGCTGCACGCTCATGCGCACCGCAATCACGAATGTTGGCCGGCTTCTCCGCATTCTCCTTCCTCTCCATCAATCCTGAAGCTGGGCCCAACCAATCAAACGTACAACGTCCTGCACCTCCATCCCTCCCTCATCGCACACCTACCTTCTCCGCTCACGGCAGCATTCGACGCTCGTCGACCTTGCCTCCACGCACGAAGGAGACCTTTCTCTGATTTGCACCTACGAGGCCCCCCCTGCTCCCCCGCACCTCTTGCATTGCGCACAGCTCTCTCGTTTTGTGCAACGCCGCGGGCTGCCTTCACTTTTGCCGTCGGCTGACGACGGAGCTCAGTGTGCACCTCGAAAGCTTCTTTGAGCTGCTCGACTGCGTTTCCTCCCACCACCTGCCAGGGTTTCTAGACCTATCGTTGGCTCTAGAGGATCTGGCTGATCTCATCGCAAGGCAACGAGCTCCCTCGACACTTTGCTCACACAGAAGCACATTGGTGCTTCTGTGCGCCGGAGAGAGTAGCGCACACTATGGATCGGATGGAGCACCATGCTGAAGGTGGACCCTCTGGCGCTGCGCACTCCAGCGGAAGCGGCAGTTGGCAGAGCAGCAAGACCATCACACAGCCCGGCGCCGCTGCAGCTTTCGAGCTGCCGAGCATGCCAGTACCCTATGAAGGTGAGTCAGCCATGCGAGATCTTGGTGAAAAAGGCTGCTCGGCGCGGCCTCACCCCAAGCTCAAAAAAACATATTCACTTGCCCATTCAGACTTTCAAGTTTCACTGGATCTACCCTCAAGTCTAGACGCTGCCGACTTTTCACTATTGGCGTCACCAGGCTTTGCAGACATGCTGCCAAATCTATCTGGACCCTCAGCATTCTCTCCAACACCCAGTACGAGCGCGCTCTTCTCGAGCTTGGGAGCTAGGGTGAGCATGACTCCTCAAGCCGGAGATGAAGGAGGCCGAAATAGTGTTGGCGGGCTTCACCTTGCTAGCGCGCCGTACCAAGAAGGGACAGCGGGGGCAGGGAGTGCATCTGTGCCACCGTCCGGACATTCAATGTTCTCCTTTGACGATCTGACAAGCCGAGCAGCCGAGCAGCACGAGAACAAGCAAGGGGGCGTCACCTCTTCTTTGTTCGATGCGAGCGAGTCGAGCTTCTTGGACAATTTCTTGGGCGGCTTCGACTCGAGCTGGGATTTCAATCCTTCCTTGCCCGACAATATGCCATCCTTTGCCGATGCGCAAAGATTGGCTGCAACGACGGGCGCAAGCTTTGCCAGTTCTTACGATGCTGCCAATGCGGGCAAGTACATGGCAGGTGGGCAGAATCGCCCGAGGCGACTCAGGCCTGCCGTGTCGAACAGTGGCTCCACCCCGCGTGGTGGAGACGCCGTCAGCGACACCACTAGCCCTACTGGAGAGGGGCCAGAAGCGACAGCCGGCGCCGCTTTTGGCCGCGCGCTGGATGGCTGGGCTAACGAAGAGATGCAAGGTGACGATGAGCGAGGTAGTGGCCTAGGAAGGAAACGGAGCGCTGCGCATCTACCCCACCTCCCACAACATGCTACCCAGCCCTACATGTATCCCCCAGCAGGCTCCATGCCGGGATCCGCTCTGCCTTTCAATCTACCGCAAGGCTTCTTACATCGACCTTATGGGGCAGATGGCATGGATGTGGACCAGTCTTCGGCACACCCGATGACCTCGGGAAAGAAGATGAAAGCGGGAGCTGCTGATGCGGAGGACGAGGCTCAAGAATCTGATGATGGCACGCCTGGAGGAGGGGCTTCAACGGATGCGCAAGCCGCGCGAAAGGAATTGTTGACGGATGGGGAGAAGCGGCAAAACCACATCTTGTCGGAGCAACGGAGACGGAATCATATTCGAGAAGCCTTCAAGGAACTGGTGGAGCTGTTGGAAGCAGGCAGGGCGTTTGGAGCGAGGGGACTGGGAATGTCTTCTGGAGCGGGTACTGGTATAGAGGATGAAGGTTTAGACGATCGAGAGTCGGACGATGTGCACTCGTCGGAGGATGACGATGTGTCTCGAGCAAAGCGGAGGAAAGCAAGGAACAAGCGGGCGATGCCTGGAGGTGGAAGGGGCAAGGGAAGAGGAAGAGGAGGAAGCGCTGGAGGTGGAGCTGGCTCCAAGAGTGCCGTGCTGTTCCAGACGGTCGATCTGGTCAGGTGGCTTGATGGAAGGAAATTGGGCTTAGAGCAGCAGTGCGAAATCTTGGAGCGCGTAGCTGCTGGTGCGGATCCGGCGACATTGATCCAAGCACCTCCGTCGGCGTAGACCTCAGAGCCGCTACTGGATATGCAGTAGACGTGCTCAATACTCACCTTTCCGCTTCCTATCGCATCGACTCGCTCCATCTCCTCGTCACCAGTAAGCGTCACATCGTGTATTATCCTCCAATCGCATGGAAGTGTCGCATTTGGCAGACCCCGCCGTATCATTCCTGACTTGAGTGCTGAGCATGGAATCTCGACCAAATGCCTCTTTCCTCCAACACCTTGGCTGCCTGGCTGCTGACCTTTTGGTTGTGGCAATGCCTTTCAAGGCTCCTGCAGGCCCGAAAGCCTCAAAGCCCTCGAGTCGATTGAGCCCAGCCAAAAGCGGGCTCGAAGTTGTCCATCCGCATCTTGGTCGTGCTCCAGTAATTTGAATGGACACCCGTCAAGCCGAATTCGAATTGTTGGGTCCTCCGAGTCACGTGACGCTTGTTGCCTCATCCCCCTCGCTT